TTGGGTATTATAAGTCACAAGGATTGGATGCATCTGCGACAGTCATTGAGAACGATTTTGAGCCATAACACGATTTTCGCCAGTCGTCATTGGTGTTTACTGTCCCGAGGACCCCAACTAGTCAGGAAGTCTACACCTTCCTACGTGGCTGGCTTAAACTAACTGTTGTGGGTTTCATTGACCGATGAAGCCATGTTTTGGTTTGACCACCACCACTAGCTAACTCTTTTCCAACCTGACCCTATGTCAGCTAACATTGCCCGTTGTCAAGGAAGGCGTGCGAGCAAATATCTCTGCTTACTCTCAATGTGGTAGTCACCAATGGTCAGTAATACTCATCAGAATTCCTCAAACTTTATCCCGTAATCACTGACAAATATTTGAGAATTACCAGGTGTAACGACAGAAGGCAAGAGTCAGGAAACAGATCATTTATTAAGGAAATCAACGCATATTTATATATGTTTTCATGTACATTACTATGGATATTTAAGCAAACAAATACAGTCTTCTGATTGGTTGTTTCTCACGTAAAGTTAATCTTTCATCTATTTGTGACTGTTTCTTGAATGTCAAATCCTCTATATGTTAACTGCATCCGCCTACGCAAAGTCTGCTGTGGTCGGTTTTGAATCAATCTTTGTTCATATTTTCTCACGACAAATCTTGGGAACGTAAATATTGACGTAAATTACTGTCTACCAATTTGGCTAGTAGACAGCTCTCACCACACAGGTAGCTCAATAGAGAATGTAAAGTTATCTGTGTACATTGGCTAATACACAGGAATTTAATACTTAAAATCTCAACTAGAAATGAAATCATTCATGAGGTAACACCTTTCATTCAATCTAATTTATTATTGAGTAGTCAGGTCTTCAAGAGCTGAACTAGAAACCTACAACCGCCTGGTTAGAATCCAAGCTACGCTGAAGATCTTCACTACACCTTCTACCATCGCTAATTACACTAGCAACACTTTCATATTCAGATAGACAGCAACATCCTTGTTAACTGTTCTTCCTTTAACAGTATCTACAAGCAAATATCAATAATAATAATAATAATAATAATAATAATTTGCTTTATTCCAGAAATAGTACTAGTGGTACAGTGTGGAATTTTCAGCACATATCTACAATATTTGCATCTAATTTTATCAAACATTTAAAAGCAGTATTTCAAAAAAATAAATATGAAGGCAACCACAGCAAAAATAAAAACAAACACAAAAATAATTTTAAAAAAATGCGAAAAAAAACGCCAAGAAGTAGAAAGGAAAATAAATAAATAATATCTCAGTTTTGGGTGGTGGAAGCTGTGATATGTTTATGCATGGTGACAGTAAAGCTATAGCCATACAAGAAGTTATGTAATGATATTTAAGAATGTTTATCGCCAAGATAATCAGTTAATTTGGTTGAAACAACACTAAACAATCATAAAATGATATTTCAGGGTTTTTGTTTTATTGTCAGGTGTAATGCAATGTTTGTAGTGGTAGTGTGAGTAATCCTGAATAATACAAAATTTTAAGGTGGTGATATTGGCGTTCACAACCAAGATTGTCAGTTAATATTGCCGAACAAAAAAAACAACAACCACAAAACTAATAATTACATGATGGTTAATGACAGGACAGTTTTGTACTACTCATAGTGCTAATATAGTCGGAACCAGTAGATACACAAAAGAAGCAATAGAGTACAGTACAAAAAAGAAAGCCAATGTTAATAATTTAGGTAGCTAAGTATGTTTAAGAAGGAGTTCACTATAGAATACAAAATAAGAGTGAAATAAAAGAGCCTAAAATTATGTTATTAACAACAAAGCAAGTCATAGGTTTCGCGCTTAACATTGTCTCTGTCACTTAGAACACGGGCCAAATATGGTATCGTTGAGTTCCTGTACTTGGTTGTACGAGCATAGATTAAGAAATTTCTCATATTTAAATGCACTTTGTAGATTATTATTACTAAATCGCAATATTAATTAAATATGGTTAAAACTATTCCAACAAGAATTAACTCTCCATTCATTCATTAAAACGCTTTTATCTGTCTGTCTATTATGAGTAAAGTTCATTTGAATTAGAAAAGTGGGTCATCTACTGGATTGCGTGGGCAGATGTATGAAAGACGACTTTTACTCTCTTGTATTGAAAATTAGATAACAAACGGAAAATATTAACAATTAGAAATGTGGTGAAGACAAAACAACAACAGAAAATAACAATAGATTGATTATACACACAGAATAACTCTGTCTCATTCCAATCTGAGTTCACTTTGTACACGTCGGTGTCACTTTCATCTACTTCACTCTCTCTCTTTGTTTGTGGGCTTGTTTGTTTGTCTGTTAGACATTAAAGCCTAATTGCATGGAATGTGGTCAGTTCATATGCTATAAGAAATTGGCAATTGAAATGGTTGTTTATTTCAACAGAATGAAAGAGAAGTCTAATTGTATACGCATTGATTATTACTACCTAGATGTGGGTGTTAGTATTATTTTTGATATTACTGTTCGCTTGGTTTCCGAGTGGAACATAAGGCTTCAGCAACACATCTCCACTTTGTTCAACTTTCTCCTATTCTCTTTATCTGGACCCACGACTGCTCATAATCTCTGATCTCCTTGATGTCACTCTAGTAAGCATGCCCAACTCGTTTCCCATTTGAATACCACTCAAGATACGGCCTGCAATGAGCGCGATATAATTCAACTGTCTTCTTAACGTCTGTCTGTCTGAATTCAACATAGAACTTGGCTGCACCGAAGTGCACCAGTTCGAGTTGCCACGTTCCAAATAGCACACAAAGGTAGACAAGAAAATGAGCTAAGAGAATGAATAGAGTTTTGACAAGTATAAGAGTGAAACAGAATGAGTAATGGTAGAAAGGAATATGAAAGGTTAAAGAGACTGAATACATCTGCGTAAGCCATTGACAACGATTTTGAGCCATGTCACCTATTGTCTGTCTCCAGCCATTGATTCTTAGAGTCCCGGGGGTGGGCCCCAACCTGGGAGTCTGCATCTCCCTACCTGACTCAGTTTAACTGTCAAGGATTTCATGGATTGATTGATGCGATGTTTTTGTTTGGCCACCACTTACTCTTTTCCAAGCTGCACCTATATCAGCTAGTAATGCCCGTCAGGGTGGGGGAGGCGATGGTTAGGCATGCGCAGCACGTGACCTAGCCATCTCAATCTATGTAACTTTATAGCTTCTTAACGTATGCTCAAACCATCTCCATTTTCTCCTACATACTTGTTAAGCTATCGGTTATTCTGTTCCCAGCCAGCTAGGGTTTCTTGTTGCTAATTCTTTCCGTTGGCCGGCTGGTCATTTGATCTTCAGTATGCAGCTGGCGAAGACAGATGCTAGTAGACTGACTGTTGGCAATCCTTTTTGTGACGCGCAAGTCAAGTTTCTAACAGACATATAAGAACTGACTGACTTCACATTTGTGTTGGGAATCTGAATCTTGTTCTTTATGCTGCTGACTGAGTGCAGAAGATTTCCAAACTGGTTTCAGGTTGATGACGGAGAATCTTGTCTTTCCGATTCTGGCTGGCTTCGACAACTTCATCCATTCCGTTGGCTGTAGTTGAAACGATGCTTCGCAGATAAGTGTAGGAAGTAATCTCTGTCAAGTCCCTCCCATTCACGGCGATTGGTCCTGGTTGTCGTTGTTGTTACTGTTGATTGGTCAGTTATCTTCATCACCTCCATCTTCTCTATGTTTACCTGAATGGGGTCCTGTCTTCGCTGGCTGCCTTTTCAGCCAGTTCGTTGCTTTTCGAATGCAAGTCCCTCGAGTTTGTGTGACACTAAACATAAATCATCCACCCGCGAAATCCCGATCTTCTAGATAGAGTCTTCTGACCGGTCCCACTTATTCCTGTCTTCTCATTCCTAATGCACAGTCTGATGCATAATCCAGCCCACCGCAATTAGGAATATCACCAGTGATAATTGGCAGCCAGCCGTGTCTTACTCTTGTGATCACTTCCAACGCCTCGCTGAGTTTCCCACTGTGAATCACCTGACACGTCGCATTGTCATATAGCCAGCTACTGAATGAGGTTGATAAAAATATGAGCCACCGCACTCCGTGTCCTTGAAGTATTTTCCAATTTACTTCTCAGTCAAAGCGGTCGAAGGCCTTTTGGAAGACGACGAAGTTGAGGTAAAGTGAGATGTGACTCCCATTCTATGCGTTGTTCCATGATGATGATTATATGTTGAGTTACAATTTGATCAGCACATGATTTACTTTTCCAGGTTGTTGTGGGTGGCGGAGTTCAGCATCCAGTGCATCTTTTATTCTCTCTAGGGTGACCTGAGAACAGCCAAATATTTTTGATGTGGTTATGTTCTCTGAGCTGGATATTTAATTTGCGAAGCTTTCATGGCCCTACTAGGCGACATCTTCAGCGCATACTTCAGTTTGAAGTGCACTTTTCGATTTCTCCACGAGTTTATTGATCATCTCTCCTGGTGACCTTGGACGTGTGCTTTCACACCTCCTAGGTTACTTGTATTGTAACTCATTGTTTCTTTGACTTGAACTTTGACCCTTTGTGTGTGACTATTCTTTCTTATCGGTTGATAAATTTTGTCTATCCCGATGTGTCTATTGATTGATGATTCACTGGAATACCAGGCAGACTTCTAAAAATTCTCTAGCATTCTTATTGTTTCCTACGTCTAATATTTGAACGCTGGTTGTCCCAGTCGAATTGATGTATGCGCTGAAGATGTCGCCTAGTATGGCGATGAAAGATTCGCAAATTAACTATCCAGCCAGCTCAGAGAACACAACCACATCAAAATCATCCACCTGACCTACAAATCTTCTCTATCACAGCAAGATGTATCAGTGTGAAATTGGCGTACTCTTAACTGCTCGTAATCCGTTGCAACCGTCAACTCATCAACAGCTAATGTTAACCACCATACATAAAAACAAGAATTCAAAACTATTTTCACTCGTGAATATTTCGAACGAGATATATTTGTAAGGAAAGTATTCATTCTCTTGAAAATAAACTACAAGTAATAAGTACAAAATATCACAAGGTAAAAAACTTCAAGTTTCTCGTTATAAAAATCAACATTGCACATTTCTTTTATTCAGATGGTAATCTGGCAATAATCTTGGCAAACCACGACTGCAATAGAGTGGCACGTTTGTTCGCCATCTCCAACACTTCTTCAGCATTTGCAACCACTTTACTGTCAACGTCCAAAACACTAATGTTTGTCACTAATGAAATTGCAAGTACTTTCATTCCACAGTGACGAGCGAATATCACTTCAGGGATGGTACTCATACCTGGAATAGAAATAAGAAACATTTAGTGCATTACATCACTACGCATTTCAATCGTATATCATTGATCTGTTCAAGCACTTATCAAACCCCATTCATTTCAGTTTAGGTCAACATATTCTCCAACCATGTGGCTTCTTCACACCCAACTTTGTCGATTGTTTTAGACACCAAGGCCATATTTATTCCGCCTATTTGTTCAGTTGATGACTTATGTTTCCATCTTGTTCTCATCTCCGTCAGACAGTAGTGCAGATTCGGTGATCGACAGTGCCATTCTTCAGTAACACTTTCTATCGACACAGACTACATAAATGCGTTGTATGCAAGGACTTCAAACTTACCCAGTCAGATACTTCCAATTCTCCTTTTCTATCTCCACTATGCTAGTCACTAAAACTTATCTTCACATTTTTAACAGAACTGTGTTTTCCACTTACCATCCAAATGACACTTTCTCGCATACTTCTCATCTACACGGTCATAATTCAACTCCTTTGTACCTGTTTTTCTGAGCCTAAAGTCCATGTAGTTTAGTAGAATTTGTTCTGCCTCAATCCAGCTTGCTCTTCACAATACTATTCTGTTTTGAACAATCCGTACACACAACACACTGTTAGGTTCGAAAATTAATTCTTTGAGAATTTCGGTATTACTGCTGACTAACACATGTTCAGTGCCGCAGTGGAACAGAGTCTTCTCACAACTAGCTTTTGATGGTGATTGACGAACATTGGCCAACTTATGCTGGCGATAAACCCATCACGTCCCCAGCTCGATCAGGAAACTAAGTCCCTATTTGAGGAAGAACCAGCTAAACACATATCTGAGTTTGACAGCTGCGCTCATCCTGAAGAAGCCTGGAAGAATATCCAGTCAGCCATAAATACAGCTATAAAAGCTGTGAATAAGGTAAACCCAAAGGTGAGTAAAAACCATTGGATTTCGACTGCCTCATCCGAACTGATAGATGCTAGAAGACTTATTCCGGCGAGCTCCGAATTCAATGAGGAGCGAAAGCTGCACAAAAGGAAACTTATGAAAAGTCTCCGCAAGGACCGTGAACAGTGGTGGTTGACAAAGGCGAAAGAGATGGAAAATGCATCGGCGATAGGCAACACTAGGCAACTCTTTAGACTCATCAGGGAAACGGGTGGGAGAAGGCAAATCATAAGTGAGACTATTTCTGACAAAAATGGCTCCTTAATTAGCTCTCAGGATAGACCCCTCGAACGCTGGAAAGAACACTTTGAGGAACAATTTAACTTGCCTACAGCCACACTGAGCCTCCCCGCCATCCAGCACACACCCGAATGGGATATAGACACTGGCCCGCCGTCTGTAAGTGAGGTCACCAAAGCTATCTGTAATTTGAAACGAGGCAAAGCGGCAGGACCCAACGGAATTATTCCGGAAGTGTTTAAATATGGGGGTGACATACTAGTATATAGTTTAACTAAGGTACTAGGTAACGTCTGGGAATCAGAGACGGTTCCATCAGACTGGGGTAAGTCACTTATCATTTTCTTTATCTCGATGTGTCTATTGATTGATGATTCACTGGAATGTCAAGCTTCTAAAAATTCTCTAGCATTCTTGTTGTTTCCTACGTCTAATATTTGAACGTTGTCCCAGTCGAATTGATGTAAGCGCTGAAGATGTAGCCTAGTATGGTGATGAAAGCTTCGCAAATTAACTATCCAGCCAGCTCAGAGAACACAACCACATCAAAATCATCCACCTGAGCTACAAGTCTTCTCTATCACAGCAAGATGTGTCAGCATGAAATTGGCGTACACTTAACTGCTCGTAATCCGTTTCAACCGTCAACCCCTCAACACCTAATGTCAACCACTGTACATAAAAATAGGAGTCAAAAACTATTTTCATCAGTGAATATTTCGAACTAGATATATTTGTAAGGAAAGTATTCATTCTCTTGAAAATAAACTACAAGTAATAAGTACAAAATATCACAAGGTAAAAAACTTCAAGTTTCTCGTTATAAAAATCAACATTGCACATTACATTTATTCAGATGGTAATCTGGCAATAATCTTGGCAAACCACGACTGCAATAGAGTGGCACGTTTGTTCGCCATCTCCAACACTTCTTCAGCATTTGCAACCACTTTACTGTCAACGTCCAAAACACTAATGTTTGTCACTAATGAAATTGCAAGTACTTTCATTCCACAGTGACGAGCGAATATCACTTCAGGGATGGTACTCATACCTGGAATAGAAATAAAAAACATTTAGTGCATCACATCACTACGCATTTCAATCGTATATCATTGATCTGTTCAAGCACTTATCAAACCCCATTCATTTCAGTTTAGGTCAACATATTCTCCAGCCATGTGGCTTCTTCACACCCAACTTTGTCGATTGTTTTAGACACCAAGGCCATATTTATTCCGCCTATTTGTTCAGTTGATGACTCATGTTTCCATCTTGTTCTCATCTCCGTCAGACAGTAGTAGTGAAGATTCGGTGATCGATAGCACCATTCCTCAGGAGCACTTTCTATCGACACAGATTACATAAATGTGTTGTATGCAAGGACTTCAAACTTACCCAGTCAGATACTTCCAATTCTCCTTTTCTATCTCCACTATGCTAGTCACTAAAACTTATCTTCACATTTTTAACAGAACTGTGTTTTCCACTTACCATCCAAATGACACTTTCTCGCATACTTCTCATCTACACGGTCATAATTCAACTCCTTTGTACCTGTTTGCCTGAGCCTAAAGTCCATCTAGTTTAGTAGAATTTGTTCTGCCTGAATCCAGATTGTTCTTCACAATACTATCCTGTTTTGAACAATTCGTACACACAACACACTGTCAGGTTCGAAAATTAATTCTTTGAGAATTTCGGTATTACTGCTGACTAACACATGTTCAGTGCCGTATTGGAACTGAGTTTTGTGACAAAAGCTTTAGATGGTGACTAACAAACATTGTCCAACTTATGCAGTCAAACTGCACAGAAAATAATTCACTTACCAACAACATCACAACCCGTCATGAGCATCATTTTGCACTCAGCAGGTGTTTCAAAACATGGACCACCATTCATTCCGTAGACACCTTCGTGAACAACATCTTCAAAATTTTCCTCTTTCGCTATTTGTAAGGCCAACTTTCTCAGGTCGGAGTCGTAAGCATCTGAAAGAGCTGGAAATCGAGGGCCAAATCTAAAGAGATGAAAATCACTAGAAACAAAAGTGACCTACTTGTCTTCATTTTCACCAACTAAAACACCGTTTAATGCAAGACCAGCATAGTAAAGATGGTCTTTCAAAACAACGAAATCTCCACATTTAAGACTTCTGTTTAATCCACCAACAGCATTGCTCAACAGCAGAGTTTTCACTCCCAACAGCTTCATGACGCGTATAGGAATGGCTATCTACAATAAATATCTAAAGATTTGTATTAGAATGATTACTTCATGTTTCGTCCATCCTTCATACATATGGAATCGTCCCTGCATCACAACCACTTTCCGGCCACTCAGAGTTCCGAAAACTAAGTTTCCGGAGTGTCCCTGTACTAAAGCACTTTGAGAAGATTTCAAAGTACTTACCAGTCGAATTAGCGAACCCGGGTATATCTACATATGGGATAACTGTAGGATTTTGAACCCCGTTGGCTAGCTCTCCAAGACCACTTCCACAAACGATGCCAATTTCTGGCTCAATATTTATCAACTTTTTGATGTGATCTGCCACCTTGGAAACATTTTCATAGCTTGCAGTGATTTGAGAAGACCTGTAGATACACGAACATTATCAGAAGTAACAGAATTTACATTTTCTTGTAGTGTAAGTGTGTCTGGCTGAAAGTTTAAAGAAAAAATTAACATTAACTACCTTGTTCACTTGTTTCAACAGGGAACTCATACTGACAGCACTTGAATGCGCACTTGTGCAGCATATATGCGCACCAACACGATACCACCCTGAACATGATCCGTCCACTCTACACTTGGTGCTAACATACCAGAAGGAGGATGTCGGTGACATTAAGTGCCTGACGTCACTAGGCTGTGGTGGCCATATCGGTCGGTCGGTTTTCGACATAGAACTTTGCACATATGTGCGGCAGTTCAAGTCGCCACAATCCATGTAGCACGCAAAGCAAGAGAAGAAAGTAGAAGAAATGCATAATATAGACAGTAAACAGAGGTGTGAGACAAAGGAGTAGTAATAACGAAGAACAATATAGTTTCATTGGAAATCATGAGTCACAAGGAGTGGATGCATCTGAGCCACTGAGAACGATTTTGAGCCATGTTTCCAATTGTTTCCAACCATTGGTTATTACCGTCCCGAGGACCCCAACCAGGAAGTCTACACCTTCCTACGTGGCCTAGACTAACTGTTGTGGATTTCATTGACTGGTGCCAAGTTTTCGTTTGACCGCCGCTAGCTCTTTTCCAGCCTGGCCCTATATCAGCTAACATTGCCCGTCGAGGAAGGCGATGACTAGGCATACGTAACACATGTCCCAACCATCTCAGTCGATGTAATTTCACAGTCTCATCGATTGATTTCCCCTCCTTACCTAGCACCCGACGCCTAACCTCAATATTGCTCACCTTATTATACCACTTCACGCGGGAGATAGAACGCAGACACCTATGATCGAAGACAGCTAATCTTTTCATGTCTTCTGCTCTCAATGGCCATGTCTCACAGCCATAAAGGAGGACGGAGCGGACTGTTGAGCAGTACACACGCCCTTTGGTCGATAGTCGGATATCGCGTCTACGCCAGAGACGGCGTAAACTGGCATATGCGAAACTAGACCTCTGTATTCGTGCTGAGATTTCGTCGGAGATCAACCCGTTGGGGCTGATGGTACTTCCCAAATAAGTGAAGCGGTCAACGTGCTCTACCACTTCACTTCCTACATAGTTATCACTTTTACATTTAGGATTCACGTTGTCATACATCGGTCAACAGCTGCTCGTCCAAACGTTTGGAAAACGAATATATCTGCAATCCGAAATGCAGCAACCCTAGCTGACTGGTCTGTTGATACACACCAGACTGTCAAGGAGGCTTAGATGGGATTTAGGAATACACTAGATTGTGTCACTTCACCTTTTGTACCTTGGTACACTCCTCGAAAGCTATCTATAACACAAGCTACCTTGGACTGTAACGACAGAAGCCAAGAGAACATTTATTAAGGAAATCAACGCATATTTATATATTTTCATGTACATTATTATAGATTAGTTAAGCGAACAAACACAGTCTTCCGATTGGTTGTTTCTCACTTAAAGTTAATCTTTCATCTATTTGTGACTGTTTCTTGAATGTCAAATCCTCTATATGTTAACTGTATCCGCCTACACAAAGTCTGCTGTGGTCGGTTTTGAATCAATCTTTGTTCACATTTTCTCACGACAAATCTTGGGAACGTAAATATTGACGTAAATTACTGTCTACCAATTTGGCTAGTAGACAGCTCTCACCACAGGAATACTAATGAAATAAGGAGGTTATTAAGATGGAGGAAGAACTTATGAGACCGGTTTACTGTGACTGGGAGGGATGAGTTTCTGAGGGAATACCACGAAATTCGAAACTTTTTTAAGTATATAATTAACAAAAGTTGTATAGAGCATGAGAGACAGTTAGTACTGGATTGTGTGCATTATCCAAAAAGACTGCACTCTTATATCAAACGCAGGACTAAAACTAGCAGTGGTATAGCACCACTCATAAGCAATACTGAAGAGGCGGCTGAATCAGACAAAACAAAAGCTGAAAAGATCTCGTAAATACCTTTGTGATACCTTTTCGTCTAATCGTACCACCCAGGGGTGTAGCGAGGTCACTACTCTAGCCACTAAAACGCCCACAATTGTGGTAGAGGATGCAGTGGTTCTCAAGCTACTGTCTTAGCTGAAGCCAAGTAAATCACCTGAACCTGACGGACTACCCTAGACTGTTAATCTCCTTGGCGAAAATAATGTACATTCCACTTACGGAGATTTTTCGAATGTCTCTGACCCAGGCTAAGCTACGTGGAGACTGGAAAGATGCCTTTTATGAGCCCCATCTCCAAAGAAAGGAGCAGACAGTTAGTATCTAACTACGGGCCTGCCGGTCTTACTTGCATTACAACAAAGGTATTCGAAACACTCATAAGGGATCAGCTCTTAGTTCATATGGAGAAACAAGGCCTATTGGCGGTGGAACAGCATGGATCCCGACCGGGAAGATCCTGCCTGACAAAACTTATTGTTACCTAGGGAAGTTTGGGTTGAAGCCAGGGATAAGAACCATCCATTGCACGCTGTCTTCATCGATCTTGGTAAAGCATTCGATAAGGTATCCCATTTAGGTTTCCTTAGTAAACAAAAATGTTCGGGATTTGACCAACGCCTACGTGAATGGTTTAGCGACTACCTGATGGATGCAAGGCAGAAGGTAAGGGTTAATAGTGTACTGTCAGGGTGGAAAGTAGTACTAAGTGGAGTACCTCAGGGAACTGTACTTGGCCCCCTGCTATTCTTATTATACGTAAATGAAGTGACAAAAATTACTACCTCATCTTCCTTATTATTTGAGGACGATAATAAGATATGGAAAACCGTAAATAGTAGCGATGATAGGTTGGTACTACAAAACAATCTAGACAAATTAGCCGAATGGTCTAACCTTTGGAGTCTGGAAATTAATTCCAAGAAAAGTGCGGTTATGCACCTAGGTCAGAAGTCTTACACGTCGTACTCCATGGGGGGGACAGAACTGCCAGATGTTAGGGAACAAAAAGACTTAGAAATTATTGTTAGCCATGACTTAAAAACTGTAATCGAGGCGCAGCTAAGGCTTTTCGAATTCTATGGCCACTTCGAAGGGCTTTCAAACGACTAGACCAGTGTATGTCCCAAGTACTCTATGCAACATATATCAGGCCCCATCTAGAATACTGCATACAAGCAGTGAGTGCATGCTTCAAAAAGGAAGTACATATCCTGGAAAAAGTACAGAGGGTAGGAACCAAATTAGTTAGTGGCATCTCGCAGCTTTCTCACGATAAGAGGATGAAGCATCGAAATCACTTCCCATTATCATACTGAAGGAGGAGAGGTGACTTAATTTTGGCACACCGTATATCACAGGGTGATTTGGGAATTGACCTTTCAGATCTTCTCTCTCCGTCCAGTATACATGAGGTCAATAAGGGATGCTCAAACCGAGGTTGAATTGCAACAACAGAAGACAAGGGCCAGGCAACAGATCATTTATTAACGAAATCAACGCATATTTATATATTTTCATGTACATTATTATAGATTAGTTAAGCGAACAAACACAGTCTTCCGATTGGTTGTTTCTCACTTAAAGTTAATCTTTCATCTATTTGTGACTGTTTCTTGAATGTCAAATCCTCTATATGTTAACTGCATCCGCCTACGCAAAGTCTGCTGTGGTCGGTTTTGAATCAATCTTTGTTCATATTTTCTCACGACAAATCTTGAGAACGTAAACATTGACGTAAATTACTGTCTACCAATTTGGCTAGAAGACAGCTCTCGCCACAGAATGAACTAAGTGTGGAATTTAGATCTTCTCATCAAGTGGTCGACGACTGCAACTCCTTCAGGAGGTAATTACCTGACTCAGTCGTAACAACTCCATCAGTGAATGCTTTCAAAGACAAATTAAACCTCTGCTGAGATATATATATCAAGGATTAACATACGCAACAAGAGCCTTCAGTCCTTACATTCTGAATCTGAAACAATACTATAGCCTCCAAGTCAGACTGACTATCAAAACACACTATACATCACAAAGTGAAAGAACACTGGTATCCGCCTAGCTCCACAGTTGAAAGCTACGTGATTGTGAAAAATTAGTCAAAAGCAACTGTTCCTGCATCTGTTAATACACAGTTATTAGAAGAAGACATATAAGCGAACAACATTGTTTTCAATTAGATCTTCAGGCTTTACTCTAATTTACATAGATTAATATATAAAATTTTAACCAATGACGGTGATTTTGGGAATCATATAATAATCTTAATTTTCTATAGTTTGTTTGTAAGGATTAGTTATGTTTTACGAGTTGATCACGGACTGATATCAGTTAGAGAACATTGAAAACCAGGGAATACTGGACAGCTGCTGTTTCATCCTAGTTTTGGGAATCATCGGCAGTACGCACCCACTGGGATTCGAACCCGAGACCTTCCGGTTACAAGGCAAGCTCGTATACTATTCAGCCACTGGGACCTGATTCAATGGCTCATGAATTCTAACTTCTACCAATTCGTGATTTTAATAATAATGTGGTAAATGTTTTGAAAGAAATTAATAACGATGATTATAATGATAACAAAATATTGATAATAAGGTTTATGCAAGTGATAAGAATAACAAAGATAGTACATGTCTTTAAGTTCATAAATAAATTAGGTCAAATCTTAAAAAGGTGAAGTGGAACGATAATCACAGTTTAAATAAATTTTGATAGCATTATTAGAAGACGGAGATTATCTGAAAAATGTGATGTATTAGCGCTATACATTTCGAACAATCTGATCACACATTAACTTGTCAAGTCAATATATATGGAAAAGTTAAATTAAACAAGGTGACAAAAAAAAAGAATTAAGAATAATTAACACAAACGTTTGGTAATCCAATCAAATAAGGATTACCAAGGTAGGTTAAGAGTAATAACAAACTGTTTTTGAATACACAAGGGGGGGCTTAAGTTTATGAATGGCTATAGCCTCAGCGTATTTCAGTAAACGTCCTTGACCGTTTTTATAGATGACCTTAAAGGCTGAGTTAACACCAACCTTATG